TTTTAGTAGCAAATGCCTCCAATTATGACAGGCATGTGCTTAACTTGGTAATTCAGTTCAATTCAATTCAATTAAATGGTCCAATATATAAAAAATAGGCCTGCATCAGAAAATCTTTGTCAATTTACAATTCAAATAGAAAGGTAAAATTAATAAAGGTAAAAACAATATTCAATAACAATTTAAATAAAAAGCTAAATAAAACAAGTCAAATTAAAAAAAAAAATATGTTCTTTGTATTGAATCTTGCAAAGTTATAGGCCTATCATTAATATACTGTAACGTGCAGTAACTACCCTACATATAAGGCTTACATATTATGCTTAATTTGTTAGTTTAGTGAAAAGGGAAATAAATTTACTAGAAATATATTAAACTGTATTTTTTCACAATTTGCTCTAGTGAAATGTGTTACTTTTATCCATGTACTTTTCGTTATAAACCATTTCTGAGTAACCTCTTTTGATAGGCCTATTGAATTATTTCGAAAATAGAAGGTAAATGTTATTTTGAAGTAAATTATTTACTCAAAAACTTGTCTAAGTAACTAAAAACAATACCGTACTTTGTAGGTTCTATACAGTGCATAAAATATAAATAATACATCTTTGACGTTTCTGTGTTTGAGTATTGGAACGACCTACTGTACATTGGTGTGATGGATGCGTTCGTCCTCGGAAATTGTGTTAAACATGAACAAAATTGATTCGTGACATGAACACTTTGTCTTTCAAATCCAAACCCATAATTCAATACCAGCGATTTGCTAATTTAATAAGTTGCTCTCAATTTTAAGCCGTTAAATCTCATAAAGAATAACTCACTGCAATAATTAATGAATTACTGTATCATAATAATAGGCTTCCACTTACAGTATATAGGGCATAATGCTCTGATTAACAGTAACAATGCATCTGTACCACATATAGTAAATGTCATGAAAGAGAGAAATAACATAAAAGAGGTCAACGTCGGGTTTTAATTGGGTCAGATCGCTCAGCTCCTCGAATAACCCTCACATGAGAGTTAAACGGAATAAGAGACAATCCGTTACATGTCGGTAGGCCTACTGGAGCAGTACGGTACTGTGCAAGCCGCGGGTACCCAGGGAAGACAGCCAAAATTTTCAATTTCAAAGTTTTAAAAAGTAATCTTTATACAGACCAGTCGCAACTAGATATATATAATTGATATTAAAAGTTGACTAATAATACCTTTCGAATCTTGAAAACCATAAAATGTACCCGATTTGTTGTTCATGTTTCCACCGTGCTTCCTGTCCGTAGTCTGTATGTGGGCATGGGATATTAGGCTATAAGTCTGCAACTCGCACACTCTCATGATGCATGGATTTTCTTCTCTATCACAGTGGAATGGTTTTACAGTTGGTTGCACAGTTGATTGAAAATTGAGTTGACAAGTATGAATTCCGAATCATATAGTACTTATTTTCTGAATTCGTAACGTATTTTATTTTGATTGTGAAGCTGCTAATTTCATATTTTTAGGCTTATCTTTATTTTTTTTAAATATTGGAACATTTAGCCTTTAGGAATACCTAAATTAAAATGTTAATTGTGATTCAAGGAGTATTTTCTACACGAACCTGCTGGGACCAATTGATAATTATGATTTAGTGAACCAGAAGATAGTTAAAAATAAATGAATTGTGTTTAAAAAAATGTGATAAAATGTCAAGGTGCACAGACTGCAATATGCCTACAACATTTATATTCACTACTTTGCAGTGCGGATCCAGGAATTCGGAAGAGGGGGCCCAGGGAGGGACATTCAGAGATGGAGTGTCTAGACCACATCAGCCCCACCATAGTTCCATGGAGCTGAGGTGTGATTATGGCACTTCTAGATGGCCAAAAATGGCAGACCAAAATTTTATTACTATTAACTTTTTTCCATCATTTTAAAAAATAATTTTGACAAATTTAGGGGTGGGGGGAATCGGCCACTGCTTTGCTATTTTACATGACATGAAAGCAACCTGCCGAATTCAATGAATTCAACTCGTTAGACCATGGCCCCCTTGACTTATTATTTCAAAAGTCTTATAAAGCTTGTCGAAGTTATACTTATCGATGTTATGGTCATCATGCTCATCAATGATGCCCATCAATGTTATTCTCATCAATAATGCTCATCAATGTTATGCTCATCAATGTTATGCTCTTCAAAGCTATGCTCATTAAAGCTGTGCTTATCAAATTTTTGCTCATCAAAGCTATGATCGACAAAGCCATGCTCTGCTATTGCTTAACTCGCAACTCACGGTCTGCTTACAATTAAGCCTAGAGCTTCGATTGTGAATTACTTGTATTCCCAACCCTTGAGAATCAGGCCGTCGGCTATGTAATCAATGAGTGCGTTATATATAAAGTTGGCGCCGATGGTAATGAAATGATATAAATTAATTATTGAAGGTAACTTTAATTGTCATTTGTAGAATAAACCTAAATAGCTTATGATGTCTTTAGCAATTAATACGTTCAAATTGCACATCTAAATATGTAAATATACCGTAGGTCTTCATCAAGCCGAAATATATACTGTTTAATAGGCCTATGGTGAATAATGTAGGAATTCATCACAAAAGACAGTCCGAAAATTCGAAATTTAACCAGTTAGCTAATTGAATTTTATAAGTTATTTCAATATAGAAATATTTCATTTTCTGGAATAGAGATCATAATTGAAATATAATATTTTCTGAAAGTTTGCATGGCGAAGTAATAATATATATTAATGCTTGCGGTACACCACGTAGATAGTTCTAAAAAGAACTGTTTTTGTTGGTTGAGAATATCTCGACGTTTCGATTGCTTCAATCGTCTTCAGGAGAATAATAAGACGATTGAAGCAACTCAATCGAAACGTCGAGACTTTCTCAACCAACAGCAACAATACGTGGTGTACCGCAAGCATTAATATACAACATACGGTAATAGTTAATGTCAGCTTTGAATTAGGTTATCAAATATTGAAATAGTAATTTTATAATAATTTTTATTGGCTCATAGATTTACAGTACTTTCTAAAAATTAAGTTATAACTTCGGGTTGGTCAACGAGACATAATGAAGTTTTTACAACTTAGACTTTCTTACTACGAAATTTATGACCAATCAATAAGGGTTTATGCAAAAAAATAGGAACGGTATTGCTATTTATGTCTGTCAATTATCATGAAAATGCCTATTCTTGGGTTTTTAATAAATGTTTTAATACAATACACTCACTTGAAGAATTCAACCAAAAAATGTTTATTCGTTCTAATATTACTTTAAAGCACGAAGTCTGTAATCATACTTAACACGAAGTAGGCCTATTATCTGAACGAATAATATTACCTCGTGTTTTAATCATAATTATTATGCAAAACGAACATCCAAAATAATGTTATAACATTACATGATTCACAATCACAAAAGAAGGGTCGAACACATCAATCAAATTAAGTATCTTTAATGTGGACATAATATGTGTAGGTCTACACTGATCCTTATTTTAGCCTAGATATATGATCGATGTTCTAAAAGGACGCATAGCTACGCTTTGTCTCCTTTTGTTGCAACGAGTTGAACGGTACACAAATGTCAGCCTAGTTCTGTGTGACCCGCATTCTATAACTTGCTTAGCTATTAAATAATGTTTTAATGTAAATGGAATTATAGTGACTTTAAAAACTCCCATAATAGCAGACCTAGGATTTCTCGGTTCTAGGGACACATTTTGATAACTAGTTTTCACTTACGAAAATTAGCTCAGTCAATACTGCATTCACATTTCACACGTGGAGTTTGCTATTACGTTTGTCACTATCTTTATGGATCAAAGATGTATTGGCATGTCTTCTAAGATGTACGTTCGTTTTAAGGCAATATATGTTTATATATATATATATATATATATATAAGTTTAATAATATATAATATATATATAAGTTTGAAAGGCAAATGGGAAAACCCCATAAAACAGCAAACGGCCATATAATGCAAAACAATTTAAAATTAAAACGGAACAGTAGAGAAAATCTGATCAGAATGAAAAAATAAACTAAGCATATTTATTCATTTATTTACAGGACTACATTCGTTGAGAGCTATGCTACACGATGTATTTATTAAGTCCTTTATCCGAACACTGTATTTACCTTTCTTTGATGATTTATATATGATTTAACAGTGTTAACGGCTACCTTGATTTATATTATATGCACCTATTTGTTTCTAGCCGTACCTATTGTGTTAATAGAGTGTATCTGGTGGTATTTGAATCTGTTCAACCATGAAGCCTCCGTGGTCTAGTGGTTATGACACTCGACTTGACAGCGAGAGGTCGCAGGTTCGAGTCCAGCCAGAGGCATTTTATTACATAATTTCTTTATTCATTTACTTACAGGACTACATTCGTTGAGAGCTATGCTACACGGTGTATTTAGTAGACTTGTGTTTTTCCAATCCCCAAATTTCACATCCATATACAAGGATTGGCATGACCATTGTATCAAACAAAAAAAGTTTAATTTCAGCATTAGTATAATTGTTACCATTTATGTAACTATTCAATTTAAATAGGCCCTTGTTTGCTTGATGATTTTTATATGATTTAACAGTGTTAACGGCTACCTTGATTTATGTTATATATATATATACATATATATATATATATATATATATATATATATGTATATATATGCTTATGCTGCACCACTATTGATTCTGATAACTGTATGTATATATATTATATATATATAATGATGATAACAAATTATATATATTTACGCTATTTATTACTATAAGCAAAAAGCCAGAAGAACCTAAGATAAATTATACCATATCGTGTACTTCAGTGCGATAGATGACACAGAACTGGAACACCCTTTTCTGGAAAAACCTATTATTTATAACTAATCTCCATGTTTTATAGGCATTGGTTATTATTTGTTTTACATTTTATCAGTGATTATATTCTACTTTTTTTCGACAGAGATGAAGGTCATTCATATCACTATTTTGACAATTGTTGTCATGGCAGCGTTGACGGTTAGAGCACAATCTGAAGAAGAGGAACCAAAAGATGGATATTTTGACTTTTTGAATCAAGTTATGGACAAACGAAGGCCAGCAAGGACACGACCAGCAAGGGTAAGTCATCCATCAGATTATCGTTATCATGTTTTTAAATGTTTTTAATCGGAATCAAATTAAATCCACTCTGTTATTAATTACTGTTATTGCCACTCATTTGTTTGTAAATAGTCCTTAAGGGGGAAAGAGGTTTTACTGAGCAACATGTTAGTAAGTTCAATGGGTAGAGAATCCCATTGTATAAGCAAATACATTTTAAAAACAGTCATTCTAAGCATTTTATTCTTGAAAATGAATATTTAAACTAAAACTGTCGGTTTGAGGGGTATTTTAACAAAATAATTTGTGTGTGTCAATGCGATTCGTGCCATATACAACACTTCCATAGGCCTACAAGAAAATTCCCATTTCAGTAGATTGAGTCAACGTTCACAAGGAAGAGGATATGTCCATTTTCGAATGCGAAGGAGATCATCGTAACACTTCTTCAGATCTAGCCATGAATGATATGCAATTAATTTAAGTGTACAATTAGATAATTAATGTTTTGGTTATGAAAGGTATTAAACGCTTAATAATAGCAATCATAAGCGATGGTTTTGAATACATGGGATTAATGTGTTTCCCCAGTCCAGGCTGGAAAATACGGCTATTCCCAGATAGATTTGCTTATTGACAAGTACAAGATCCTAACCATTTAGTATTTTTGATAATAGCTTCCTTTATGAATCTGATACATTTAAATGTATTTGCATTAAGTACAATTCCATTAAGATGGTTATCTTCACTTACACTAGTTAATTCATGCTGCAATAATAATTCATCAAGTGTTGATATAATAGCTCAGTAGAGTAATTTGTCATCCCCATATAAAGATATACATCATATATCTTGTGTAAAACAAAGATTTAACAAAAGCGAGTTTTCGATTTGTGCGACGACGCGACGCTAGAACGGAATCACTCATGCGTGACCGTCCTACCTGGCGTCCTACGATCTCTGCATACGCAGATTTGGCCAAATTGCGTTCCAAAATCCACTCGATGAGTTGTAGTCACCCAAGGTAGCTAGTTCAGTATCTTCATTAAGGATGTTGGACCTAGGTGAACACCCCGTAATAGTGTCTTTGTTTTTAAAAAATAAGTATTCATTGTTACATTTATCAGGTAGGATTCACATATTCTTTGGGGGTCTTGTTCTTGTGTGGCACTTTCTTCAATTAATTAGGCATTAAAATTGAATTGTTGAAAGCTACCTTAGTGTGACGTAGGTTTATTACAAAGTGACCTTAACGTTCCCGCATGCGCAGATGACTTTTACTGACGTAATTACGTTCTACGTACTACCGTCGTCGTGCAATCGAAAGCTCCAAAGTATTGAACCTAGCACAGACGCTTGTTGTACACTAGAAAGTACTGGTGCAGTAGGTGAAGTGAAGGATCATCCCAACTTAACAATTAGGGTACGATCATCATAATTAAACACCATCATAGTACAGGCGTGGGCAATGTTTCATTAGGATATAGCTTAGTGAGGCAAGCAACATGCACGCTACAATACACCATTAGCCTACAATATATCTTAATCAGTCACATAATTTAGGCATCTGATCAGTAACAAGAAGCAAATTAATTCATATTAACATTAAATATATGGAAACTCATTTTCCATTATTTAAATTAACCTTAAAATATATTTAAAAATGAAAATATAAACTTATTCATGTATTATTCCTTAAAGCGAGTACAAAAGCATCACCAAGTTATTAGTTACTGAAGAATCACAATAGTTCCAAATAAAATACTCGTAAAATATTCATGCACGCACAATTTTACACACTTTCTTTATTTTCTAAGCGTAATGTAACGTAATTGTGTATCTAAATGCAAATCTAATTCGAAGTTGCACGTTATTTTTAGAAGTAAAAATGTTCTTTTGATTTTAAACATATTGTAATACTGTATACGTTTATTCTAAAATCAATTGTATGCCTATATTACGTCAATGTTTTCCCTTCTATGATCGCACTTTTCCTGTTGTTTGCTAATCGAATATTACACTTTATTTAATTGCCAAACGTATAACTAAATACGTTACAAATATTTTTTTTAAAGCTATCGGATTATAAATTCAGTTTTCCCCAAAACTGTATATCAAAATAAATGTAAATCCATCCACTAAATGCAATTGTTACGTTACTTATTAAACACACTTTAAACAGATTTCCATTAAGACCTTTTAAAATGTAAATGTTCCGCTTATGTCTTTGATCACAAAATTAGAAGCAGAGAGTAGTTTGAATTGAATTTGGCATATAGAATTTAAAAGTTTCACCGATTCCGATACTTTATTCATTTCAATCTTACTTTCATATTCATAATAAATTACGTCAATCAGATTATACACATCGGGACCTAAGTTCTATTCTAAGGAATTCCACATTAATTATTTTCAATTATTGTAATCACCGCCAACATTATCTTCATTCATAATTATCTTTTTTAACGCAGCATCGTCAACATCACCACCACCATTCTTATCATCATCCTTATCCTCCCCCACCCCCATTTCATTATCATGCATACTGAGTATTATCTATGGACTAAAAACATCTAGTCTAGAATAGGTCTATGCCGCAAATGCCTTTCAAAATAAGCATAACAACTAGATTTTAATGGGGCAGTTCGTCTAATAATTTCATCTCAAGATTTAAGTTCAACCTTGTTTTATCAACCACCAATTCACCTACCGTCATAGGTAAACACCCATTTCTAGAATTGTGAATGAATAACAAAATTATTATTCGGTTGAGTGCGACTTTCTAGTTCTTTCGTGTTGCACAAAAATGTCCAGTCCCGGCCCCAAAAATATGCTATAACTCTGCTCCATGGGGATTTTCAACACCTGGTTGAAACCCATTTAATAACTTTAAATTTCTGTTATCATTTCTTTACCCCAATTGATGGACACTTAAAAATACCTTAAATCAATAGCTGGTCCTATAACAATATGTCAGGTTAGTGAAAATTTTGAATGATGAGTAGCACTGTTCTTTTGAGGTTTTCGTTATGTTTCTCAAGTGCACTGAGATAATGTGCGCTCCGCCAAAGATATACAGAACCATCATCTAACAAAAATATATTTTGTGTTTTTTTCAGTGTTTAACATACGGCCAAACATGCACAGTGAACTACTTCGGCGCTCACAATTGTTGTCGTCAGACCAGGTGCACCGGCGCACGTGGCATGCCCTGCAGCAGAGGAAAATCTTGCGTTTGTGCCCACTACAACGGAAAGTGATCAATATAGATATCTCATAGGATTAAGCATTGTGTTTAGATTCAGTGTTTTTTAGGAATAAATAAAAAAATTTATCCCGTGTTAATAAGAAGTTATTTTTTTCCAATTTTGGAGAGATAGGCCTACATGTGTTGCTGTATTAATAAATAATGTATATGTTGATAGCAGTATGTTTATGTGTAGAAACAATAAACATAAGAATATAGATTTTGTGATAAAGTGAGGTGAAAGATACAGTAAATACAATACAATTTAATTTATGAATTTGAATATCAGGTACCGACACCCCCTTACGCAACATGGAAAATGATACTTAAAATCTGGAACGCTATTTTACATTGGTCGTCTTCAGAGGTTTAAGTTTCCACAAATACATCAGTACGTTGAAGTGTACATACCTGAGTATTGCAAGACAGTTTTTGAGGTACATTACGTTCAGGATTTAAGTCTCTCTAGTTTCATTCGAGCCTGCTTCATAGGCTATTACATATTCAGGATTTTGAAGTTTTGTGCATTTTTACATGATTCATTCACGGTGCAATCATAATATATAAGTTGACACTATGACACGGACTAAAGTTTAGCATTGACAAACACGACACAGAGTAATATAATGCAATTTGTGAAGACGGATAAACATTGTATAACTCTTGGTGGGATATTGTGACGAAAATGTTGTTTAGGGACATTGTTGTTTACAGACGACCCGGATCGAGGCATTAAGCGCTAAATACGTCCATACGGATGACTGCAAGACGACACCTTACTGACAATCTGGCAGACATGAGCGTTAGAGAAAGTTGGTAAAGAATCTATTTGTAAATATCACTTTTAGTACATACAAATTTTAGGAAGCTATTTGTTGTCCATTACGATTGCTACTCTTAATAAGAATATTGCCACAAATCACGTAGCTACAAAACACTCCTACACAAGTGCTAATGTGGACGTGTTCGTGCATTATAACTTTAACAATTATTCTATAGTTGGAATTGAAAATCAGAGTTTCAATTTCTTCAGAGAAGACATTCTAACTACTGTTAGATTAAAGAAACAGAAACGCATTTACGTCATATTCTTCTGATATATTCGTATGCTTTAAATGTTGGCTGTGCACAATTTACCAATAATTTATAAATACAAATTAATTTAATATGAGAGTTGGAATTATTTTGATTAAGGTAAAATTATGGTGGAGAAAGTACTGGTTAACGTCAGCCGACGATAGAGGGGGATATTGTTTGTTGGAGTCTTAATGGCCATTGAAATACATTAGGTTTAATCAATGTGACAGTTTATTTTGTTTTGAATATTTAATATATAAAAAAGCTACCATTTTGAAATCCACGTCGCATACAATTGATCTTAGTCTACAAATAAAATATGCGTAGAGCTAAAATTTAGTGTATATTTCTATAAATTGATTTCAAATTGTTTTTGATGGGTAATATTACCTGTCATATTATATTGCACTATTGCATTTTGCCTAAATCTAATTTTGAAGGATAAAGTAAGTTACGCTCGAGTTTACGTAACTGGGCTAAGCGAGTAACTTTACTATGGTAAAGAAGGCATTCCATTCATGCACAACGGTCGTACTGTAGTTCTAAGTTAATTCAACAAACATGGAATAAAACGTTATTAATATATATTAATAATAAATTTACATTCCTATTACGATATTCACATTTCCTGCTTGTACTGCTCTAATTTATACACACTTAAAGAGAGATTAATTGTATTGGAGACCAACAATGAGTGAAAAAAAACCTATGAAATGGAGGGGCACTCACGGCAGCCTGTCGCTTGGATAAGCTTCATAATGGTCTGTGATAACACGAACAAGTGTGCCACGAGACTCAATTTCCATAGTTAACCAGTTGGAAAATAATAAAAATGCATTTTCACCAGGGAATATTAGACCTAGAACGTCAACTTCACAATTAAGATGAGTTTGACGAGAGCCTGGCATACCTACCGTACTCATATTCAATTTGGTATTCCAAACAGAATTTATGCCATTCGGAGTAAATGAACAAAGAATGTTTTCATTTTAAAATAAAACAAAATATTGCATTAATAAATTATCTTATGTTAGTACTGTATTACGTTTTGACATTGTTAATTACGGATCCGCTAACCAGGTCGTCAGTGAACCCAACAGCCGATGGGTGCGATGTTCGGTCCAATAGATTTGATTTTAGTAGTCTTAATAAATACTACTGAAATCAAATCTATCGGACCGAACATTGACCTGAGGTGTATTTATTGGGCACTATATAGTTAGTACGTATAATTTTAATATGACGATTAGGCCTACTATCTAATATATGCTAGGCTATATTAAATTTACGTATAGGGCTTATTCCATTTATTTCTTTGTGAACTGGATTGAAATGCCTACAGTAATAGATACAACCGCCACTGCTAAATCATGTGTTACGTGATAGTCGATAAGTGGCAACTTGGAAATATAGTGACAGATTCAGTATTGTATTGTGATCGATAACATTTTAGATAAGATTAGCATAATTGTCGGCAACGTTAAGGTGAATAAATAAATTATATGAATCAATTGAAATATTCTGAAAAAAATCAAGAGCTGAGTCACTGTTTTCTCCCATTGTTTCACCACCTCAACTTTATCAAAATCAGATTAAGAATAACTCATTCTTATCCAACAGCGAAAACTTCAAGAAGGGTCTAAATACTACTAGCCTAGAGATTGATGTTTAGGCCTACAGAGGCAATAATCATTCCATCAAATATCCCCACTTCAATTTGTGTTCAATCACAAAATTGCAATAAAATCAGGCGGAGAAAAAAAGTAAGAGCAGGCAAGGGATTCCAACAAAAGCAACATTCGGGATTTTTTTCTCGCTGCTCTGTCCATGAACTAAAGCTACTGCACCCGATTCAACTTAAATGATCGGATAAGTATCAGTTTCGGTGAAAATAATACTGTAGTCATGATGACGTCACCAAACCTGATTAGGGGATTCTGATCAGATGACTGAAGACTGGTGCTGGCTCCAAATAGAAGTATATCACCATTTGTCACCGAAACCGATCATTTAGGTAGAATCGGTTGCCCTACTGTAATAGTTGATAATGGTCATTCACAGCAGCATGCTTTCTTTTACCTTAAAAATTACTAGAAAGGATCAATTTACAAAATTGGTTAAAATCATATTAAATCACGTTAAATGATATTCACTAAACCTACGTACATAATAATGTGCAAATAATGTAGGCACTGGAGTACTTTTTGACCACTTAATTGCTTCGGGTGGGATAAAGTAACTCTCAAACGTTTGATGATGAAGCTCTCAAACGTAAATGTTTACAATGCAACAGACATATTTAAAAGGCCTACAGAAAAATCAGGAAGAAGAAAAATGTTTCAAATAACGTTTGAACATTCCTACAACGTTGTGCGAACGTTATTTTGTGACATACCAAACCACAACGTTCGCGAACGTTATAAGTACGTTTTGTGTTTGCTGGGATAATGGGAGATGAATTGAGAATTAACTACTTCATTTAATTTCATTTCATGAAAAATAAAAAAAATATTCATTTCACAATACGGGTTTCAAGAACAAAGCTCAACATACACATAGGCGTAGATCCCGGGGGGATGGGGGATATATCCCCCAATATTTGACAAGGGGGGATGGTCCATTGTATCATCCCCCCCCCCCAATATTTTGACTATGTATGGGATAAAATGGAGCTTTACACACTTAGAAAGACTGTCACAGAAATAATTTGCAGTCTTATGATTAAATGTCTTTAAAGAAAAGCAACTCGAGTTATCACCTTTACAAAATATCGAGACAGTGTATCGTCTGTTTTCCGCAGGCATGGGCTCCTAAAGATTTATGATATCATCACATATCAAATTGGTGTTGCTATATATTCCGTCACAAAAGAGCTTAATATTAGATTAGTTCCACTATTTGGAAATGAAACTCATCAAAACCATTATAACACAACGGGTAAAAGCTAAACTTAAGACAAAAAAAAAAAGGGAAAAAAAGAGAAAACTGAAATGTACCAGCCTTAGGCCTATACTGCACCTGAAATATGAAATAATATTGATAAATCTTAAACAATCAATGTCCTTATTTAGGTCCTATATTTAAAAAGAAACTTTAAAACACACTACTGATCAAATAGTAGAATATTCTACGTTTTTTTTCAGCCGTTATGCTTTTATTGGACGTCATCATTTTTAAAAGAAATGTGACAGCTTTATCAATTTTATAAATCTTTTAACAATTACTATTTTATTTTTCTTAATATTTCCATTTGTTTTAATATTCCATTGATGTTTTTATCAATAATTTAATTTTTTCATTTTTATCCTTCTTTCGATTTTATCCTTCTTTCGATTTTATTGATTTTATCTTTTTATTCCTGCATGAATTTTATCATAAATGTTATAGTTTTATCATAAATTTTATTAACCTTATTTCATTAATTTTAAGAATTTCATTTAATTAATTTTACGAATTTTATCATAAATTTTTAACATTACTCCATTAACTTTCTACCTCTGTTGTTGTTAAACATGTTGATAAAATCGGTTGTCCTGGAAATAGCACCCCAAACCGATGAACCTGTCCTTAGTCATTGGTTTGCTTGCTTGTTAAATCCTTCCTTAGATTTTTATGTTAGGTTAGGTTGTAGGCCTATTTGTTTTCTGTATACTTGTGAATTCGTCTTTTTTTTTTTTTTTTTGCTTAAACAATTTTACTACTGTGCTTCCTGGGTCTTCATTTTACAAGCTCATTAGAGTTCCATGAATGTGCTTTTCATCGTTTATACTACTTAAAAAATTATTTTAAATTGACATTAATTTGATGATGATTAAATGAATTGAACTGAATAACATAACGCATAAATCTACATAATGGCCTAATATTTAAGCATTTATACCGCGCTATTTCCAACGGATTCATAGCGCAGAGTGTCACATTCAATGTAAAAACCGTAAAAGTGATGGATCCCGTCCCGATTTATGCAGTTAACAAAATAATTTGAGGGAAAAAAAACACAACCCAAAGTCTAATCCTTAAACTAAACCTATTCCTTAAACTAAACAACATGGTTGGAAGTTTACTCACCAAGGAGCTAATCCGCCATTTGTTTAGCCGTTTCTCTTCTTGCACATATGCCTACATGAATCAATTCATATCTCAAAGTCCGTGGATATTAGCCATTCGATGATTTGGCGTGGGATCTTGATGTCCCCTGGTTTGGTAGGCGACACGTGTCTACAGTCTTGTAGCCTATAATGTGCTGGATCGAAGACTTTCAACTGAACTTCTCTCCGCATTCTGAAGTTAGTTACAGCATAGAGAAAATAGTGTTCTATTTTCTCTATGGTTACAGATAGCATTAACAAGATTAAGATGCTTAACTTACTGTCCCTGTGTATTGGGCTCAATTCCTGCCAATGTTGGAATTTTTGTTTTCTCACGACAAAATTCAACTCTCTTTAACCTCAACAGTGACACATATGGCACATAGTTTATGCAGATCATGGTTATTGTAAACGGGATTGTCACCCATAATAATAATTAGAACAGCAATAGAAAATAAATTCATTCAGATTAACAAAAATACAATAAAAATACAGTAATAGCAAAATGTGCCAAAATACTCCTTCCCAACCAAAAAATGGACTACAGGAATAAATATGAACTGACAAAGCACTCCGGGGTGGTTTGAGCAGCAATTGAAGCAATTGAAAACGTTTTCATAGCAGCATATAGAACATATAAGTGGTGAAATTGATATTCTCAGATTAATTATTCGGTGGCATGGATAGAGTAAAACAAAATATCAATAAGACATTGTATAAAATGCAGTTGTATGAAAAAAGAATTTTAAAAGCTTTAGAACATACGTGACAACAAATCAAGACTCATCAGAACAGTTTTCAGTCGTATCTGACAGATCCAATCAGATTTATTAGCCACTGGTTATGTACAAGATACAAGATTTGTTTTTTACGTTTTCAATTTTTCAATCTATACGATACGATCGTAGAGATACTGTATATACATGTATAACATTTGAAAGCCATTGAAATACCACACATACTCCTGTAGGATGTAATTCCAATAATACATTGGAATCTCTAGGCATTGTCAAAGAGGCTTAAAGCCTAACACTGACAATGACACACATTTCAGGGGTAAATCATTTTATCTTACATATAATCTCTAAATTTTAGTATTAAGGTTATTTTATCTCGTCAAACATAATAACAGCTCTTCTGGAATATGAGCTGTACTTCATTATAACAAAAATACGTATATTACAGAGGTCTATTTAGGATTATTATTATTTCAACCTACGTTGTCTCTAATGTGAGTAAACGTGGAGGAAAAATAGTTTCACATCAACTTCCAAACAGCGACCAACAATTCAAGTAAAATGCCTATTTATTACTTGATTTAAAGTGTTCGTAAGATTCGTTTCGTTTTTATTCGACAAATATACAAAAAAAAAAATAGTCGGGACAGCTTAAGCAAATGAATCACTATAACTCTTTCAAATCAGCTGCCCCTTAACAAATATATTTCGATAAAAATATACTAAATTTACAGAAACAATCACAAAAGATTAAAATTGTACTCCATTAGGCCTATTACTGCGTTTATAATATACTGCTATTAAAAATCATGAAAAAGACATCAAAAAATAATTGAAAATAAAACTTTGAATTGTTTATTTAAAAATAACCTTATTAGTTATTAATTTTCAATAATTTACAACTTGAGAAAAAAGGTTTCGGTGATTTACAGATGGTTTACTCCAAAAATCTTAAAATTTGCTCTCTGCAATTCGAAAACTACAGTAGAGGGATGCAGACCTAATTAATCTTTTTTTTAAATGGCACAGATATTTTGTTCGTTCTAAATTTTAAGTTGGAAGCTAATAAATTATCGAATATACAAATTAAGATATTCAATTTCGGTTTTGAAGTTTGAAGTGTATTATAATTTTAGGCAGCAGTGTAACGACCTGAAGTATATGAACCAACCAAATCAAAGACGATAACAGACTGATATTGTGATTGTATGTAAATTTAATGCGTCATTCTAATGTCCATGTGGACTATGGTAGTGTTCCGTGTATTAATGATGTCCCAGGAAATTCATCTTGACCAATTAGAATTGCAGCGTTTAAAAACACCGTATATAAAATGTTCATGTCAACCACTGACATGACACCTACTAAAATAATTAAAATCCTGTATATTCTATTTTATGGAATTACAAAATATATACTTTAATTTATGTAAGCTGGAAATGAGAAAAGTATACCATTAATCTGAGTTAAAAAAAAAAAAAAACACCTAACAATATATAACAAAGAAAAAACCAAATCTGTTATAAAGACAAAATAGGTAGAAGTGTTTACTGATTGTCTTTTTTAACCCACAATAACCATTTATATGTAAATTTGCTGTCTCTTATACACATCTAGATGTGTATAAGACAACAGCTGTCTCTTATACACATCTTATCGTATCAAGTAAAGCTAAAACAGATATATTGAGATCATATGCAGAAATGATTGCCTCAAAAATTCTTGAATTTAAAAAAGAAAATCACACACACCAAACTATGCAAACCAAGTGGTAATATGAATAAAGGCAGGAAATAATCCTCGGGATGTAACGATCAGTGCATACATTTTGAAATGAAGGCTTCTTAATTTTCATAAACAAGGTGCATATTGCAAGGTACATAATAAATCTATGTTAAGATGGAGAATTTAACAGGCTTAAGTAGTTGAATTTGGTGGGTAAAAAGAATTAAATAGAAAAGATGAATCATTGAAAAGTACAATAAGTAAATTTGACATAAATTCAAATACATTGAATATTGAATATGGAACCATTCATAACCAAAATAATCATAAATATAGAGTAAATGTTAAAAGAGTATACCGGTACCTGTTGTAAAATGTCTAATTATATTAATAAAATTAAGGACAAATTTAATAATAATATTATTACAGCAAAACAGTTTTAACAATTTTTGAATTAATAAGTAGATAACGAAAGAACTCATTTTTAATGATGAAAGTTTGTATGGCAAAAAATATTTATACTGCAGGCATGAATAAAGAATGTAATATATTTCTGCTTATGAAATCTGCAAACCATTGTAAATGATAAAATGCAAACAAAATTGGAAAGTCAAAAAATGCTATTAAGAAACATAGTATTGGTTTCTTTATTTACACAATGCATATTGGGTTTCACCAAGATTGTAACTACGCCACAATACCATGATTTCTAACATTTAACGTGATGTGAACAGAATCTTAATAGCATCTTTCTGTCGCTTAATTCCAAATACAGGTTTGTGTAAATACAGGCAAGAATACCTCAATGCTGTGAGACATTGACGTAACACTTGATCCTACAGCAAAAAATAATATCTAATATAACGGTAACACCCTAATTGATTTTGTATGAGGCCCGAATAATTTATTCATTGTCTATAATAGCGAAGGTTTTGCATTGCCTCAGTGTTTGCCGATTTTTTCAATATTCCCAAATTAATGACATGTATCAAATCCAGTAAATTCAAAGATGACAAAAATAGATCAAACCGAGTGCAACATAAAATGAAGTTCAAGCCCGTAAAAGCCATGTATTCTGCAGAAGAATTACTTTGAGATAAAAGAATTACAATGGCGAAATACTGTGCAGCCAAACTATTACATTATTATTTCTCTAATTTGACAATGAATATAGCATACAAATAATTTGTATTTACCCAGAAAAACATTAAATTTCAACGCTTCAGCTTAACTACAGTATTTCAAGCATTAAAGTTTGTTGAATTTCATGTAATATGTTCCTCTTCAGAACACACTAAATTAAAATAATATATTTGTTGTTTATTCTGTTTTCATTTAACGTTGAAAATGTTTTGTTTGTATTGTTAGATGCTTCCAGGAAATAATATTATGCTAAGTACAATATCATGTTTAGGAATAATTAAATTATTCCTAAACATGATAATGTACTTAGCATAATATTATTTCCGGGAAATAATATTATGCTAAGTACATTATCATGTTTAGGAATAATTAAATTCTGTCAAAGTAGAAATTTTGTATTATACATATGTATTATATCTTTCTAACATATATCAAAATTATATTATTGTTTAGTGAAATTTTGCAGGGACTGGCAATTAAAATTTTACTTTACTCTGAAACATGTTGTTTATATTACGTTATATGTTTTAATCTATACTTATTCTCATTAATAAACATTCTTGCTTTCTCAATTATTATTGATTTTTTCTTTCATTAACGTCATCAAATGACAGCACTCAGTAGTTGGATGCCATTAAGATGAACTAAAAACTACAAAATACAACAGGTGGCAGTAAAGCTTCAACATCGCTCACATTTCAAAAAAGTACAAGAGAACAGTTCTGAAACCTAAACTAGGAATTTGTTTTCAGATTCAAATCTATTCGATTAAGTTAATTCGAATTGGCAAACAACACGATATGCATGAGATCTATTTGTTGTAAGGCATCCTTTCATCCAAAGGAATGACATATTTTCATTTGTGGAATTATTGTATTATTGTAAATATGATATTTGACAATAAATGTTATTATATATTTCAAAATAAATTGCATTACAATGAAAAACATTACATAAAAGCAATCATGCAAAGAATATTCATCAAAAAGGATTATACTCAAGATGTGAACACGCTAAATTAGGAAAATGAAATTAAAATTCAATATAGCAAAATTATGAAAATAACACTTAAAACAGAGCCATATATGGAAGCCAATATCAAGTATTTGATTAAATGGAAACATAGCACACAAAACACATTACAATTGGATTAATGAAATCCACCACATTTACATTAATTTAGTTGGGCACACACTATCAAATGTGTGTCTATCAAAAAATGGTTGAATAGATTATTTTTGATAGTTCATTCTTGTTTTATAAATATCTGATAGAAATGTGTATTCCACATCTCTTGAAAGTAATTTATTACTCAACTTCATCAATTTCAGATCCAACATTTTTAACTCTGACCATTAAAAATCTTTGTGTTTCGCAGTGGTGAAGGCATTGGATTTTCAATCATGAGGTCGTTGTCTTGAGACGCTGGACATACTGCTTATGTTCTTGGGCAAGACACTTTATCTATATCTGCCTCTCTTCACTCAAGAGTATAAGGTAGAGGGTAGAGGAGGTGAATGATTTAAAATGAAATTGGTAGTGCAGAATTACATGCATAAACTAGGAATACTCCCCAGGGAGCGGATGAGGTTGCGCATTGTGTATAATTGATTCTGTATCCAATGACCAGGGGAAAAAAAGCGCCTTTAGCAGTACTTTCTGAAATGGATATGTGCGCTATATTAATCCTATTAAATACATTTTTTGAAATCGGATACTGTATATATTGTGATTTTATTATTTGAGAAATTGTATCTTATCATTCGCGGTATAACTTGCCCTCTTGATTTCTGAGAGTTTGTCGGTGAAAACTAGAAACTCATTTGATAAAAATGGAAATATATGACATGAGTAGGTACACACTGTTTAATTAATAAAAAGATAACCAAGTTGACATCAATTCAACTTGTTTAGAAATTGGAAATAATATAATTAAAAATTTAAATGGAATGTTTGGTTTTGTAATTTTTATTTTTTACATTGAAATGAATAATATGATCTAAAATATTGTATAAATATATTATAATACAAAATAAACATATAATAAACAAACCCCAAAATAATAATAATCATAAAAAAGCTATTATCCTGCAATAGACTTAAATTCATTCTTTAAAATATATCAAACAAAAGTTGCACCAGATTTTCTAAGTCAATTGTATTTGGGGGTTTTCAATGAAAATACTATAGGATAATTGACTCCATGAGATTACTATAATAAGCTAAACTTGTGAGACAATGTGATTCAAAGCAAATATATATAAATAAATAATGATTAAACCGCCAAGCCACATCAGTAATCCATTGCTGACGGCAAGGCACCTTTTCTGAATGATGAAATCCGACAGTATGGATATGTTTGAGTGAAATCAGAGTGAATAATTTACCGCTAATCAAAACATTCAAAAGGCTTGGAATATTCAGCATTCCACCTTTGTGTAAATTCTTTCAATGTGTATTATTGTTACTATCTTCCGCTAATTCATCCATCACGAACAGAAAAATAAAATTTTGGCGGTGCAGTTTCAGCAAGCACCACTTTGAAAAAGTCAAAAGTTCCTAGAATCTTGAACTCGCATCTGTTCTAACGCTGATTTGAGTCTTCGTATATGCCTAGGATCATTCACACCACACGTCTTCAAATCATCCACGTCCATATTGATAACAATGTGCAGTTCATCCCAGCCATGGTCCATGAAAGGTCTAGTATACATTGGTAGACCCAACGAAATCAACCACTCTGGTACTGTCACGCCACTCCCAGACTTGACCACTACTTTAGCATTCATTGCTAAATTTTCACAAAATATCTGAAAGAGGAATGATAAATTACATTAGGATATAAAATCAAATCAATGTAGTAGTATTAATAAATCGAAGCAGAGTATATTGTATTTTCATATCCAAATGCAGAAGCAGGAAAGATGATACAAGATATTACGTTGAAAATAAATCTTTTAATCCGCCCAACTGATTTCTCAATTCCCCTGAATTTTTTATAGTTTTCTTAAGATATCTAAAATATATCAAATTTTCATTCTTTGTTAGTGAAAGGAAAACAAATTTACAAACACACACTTTAGATAATGTGATCTGAATGCAATTTCCCATTTTCAAATTTATGAGTCTGGTATCAAAACAATAAATAAGAAATGATGAGATATTAATTCAGAAATTATCATTACCACTAAAATTACAGTAACTATAAAACTTTACTTTCATAAATGATTTTATAAATGTTAATATTTGAAAAAATCTTACAAATATTCTAATACTATATTAATCTCTATTTATTAAATATTTGATTCCATACTTCTTCATGGAAAAATTAGATTGTTAAAAAGTATTAATTATTTACTACATAGTCCGGGTGGCAAATGGCAATTTTTCGGTTAGGCATGCAAAATTTAGATTTTGGCTCTACAAGAGGCTGAAACTGACATTTATTGGTGGCAATGTGTTTTGACTTCTTAAACCATACTATAGACCAAAAAAAATATTGTTCTATGTAAAATATTAATGGCGTTATGGGTAATATTCAAATTTTGCGGCCATTTTCGCGGTCAGCTTGGAAATCTCAAATTCCCTAAGGGTAATAAAATGTTACCCAGCGGAATATTAATCTGGACCACTTGTAGAGCCAAAATTCACTGAACACAATTATGCACCAAATTTTGCACGCCTAATCGCCATCGCACCCAGACTAACAAAATGTTTCACAGACTGTGACTGACTGAAATCGACTCTGTATAAATTATTAAACCAGATATCCGAGGGTGATTACAACAATAATACATTTTTGTTAGTAAATAGTATTTAACAGTAAAGTAAATATGAAACAAAGATGACTAAAACTGAATCAATTTCATTATGTTTAATTCATAAACTGCAGTTTCATTCATTTATGTTTAATTCATAAACAGTAGAAGACATTACTCTTTAAAAATAGACATCGCCATGGAAAACCAACCGCACCCTCTTCCTCAAATTCTATCTATGATTAGTCTGCTGAATTAAGCTTTGACTTCGGGGCCTCAAATCAAATATCAATATTCGCACTACAGCAGAGCGTTAAATATGGTATTCTTATGGTTACTGCTACTGGTTCAAATCCAGAACTAAGAATTTAGAGCAATTATGGACAATTTATTTCAATCTTTTATAAATTTATTTTTTCTTTTTATGTTTCATTTACCAAAGACTTGTTACTTAATATTACATGTATTATATACTGTAGAATTAGTTATAAATGAAATTAAAGTACAAATGATAAATCATATATGATTCATAAGCATGAATAATAATTCTTTATCATTTTAAAGATATTTCCCTTGTCCATAATGGGGATTGCATAGAAAGAGTGGAATCATTTAAATATTTGGGTGTAATTTTTTTATCCTCAATTGACATGGAAGGATCATATAAGTCATATTGCATCAAAAGTATCAAAATGAATTGGTGTCATACGTCGCATCAAATACTACTTACCTTACCAAACACTTACTATCATTGCAAATTCCCTTGTGATGCCAGTTTTTTATTACTGTAGTTGCGTTTGGTCGAATTGCAATTATATAATATTTAAATACTCTGCAAATTTTACTAAATAGACTAGGTAGAGTTGTACTTTCTGTTAATATAATGACTCCTATAAATGAAATAATGAACACACTGAAATGGAGTAAACTCAATGAAAGATGGAGAAATCAGTTACTCATAATTATTGTCTACAAGGGTAAGTGTCTACAAGGGTATGCACCATCATATCTTTCGTCTATGCTTGTCTTTAATGAAAATATTCACTCTAAATGCACCCATAGCCAAATTAGCAACACTTTAATTGTACCAAACTGGAATAACAATCATGGTAAAAGAACCTTTCAGTATAGATCTGACAAAGAATGGAATAACCTACCAATTGACATAAGGAAAAATGCAACCAATATGAGTTTGGATACTTTCAAAAGTGCTATTTCTTAATTTTAAATTTTATCACATATTTAAATTCTTTTCTGTTTTCTTTCATGTTTTATGCCTTTTGCTGTTGTTTTTGTTTTTTAATTCTAATGATTTTGTATTTTGATTATGTTAATTTTAATAAAGTTTCTATTCCTAAAATTGTTAAAAATAACTGGACCATTTGGGAGACCAGTA